AAGTAAAGGTTACATTTAGCAGGTCTGTTTTACCTACAAGTGACTCCGTGCTATCAGGGTCACTTTAATGTATCAATGGAAGAAAAATTAATCTCCTATGTGAAATTCACATAATCTGTTTTGTGGAGGGGTGGACACAGACACAACATTTGTATTAAGTGCTGGACAGCGTATTAATTGATGAATTGTTGTAAGGAAGATAGTTAAACCTGTTATTTTGTGGAATTTGGCAATTTTCACAATTGCAGGGTTAGATTAAAGACCATTTAAAAATGAAAGATACTTTCAACCACTAAGTTTATGTCAGTGGATCACCCAAGAATAGATGAAATCCAGCATTAAAATTAGGGCCACATAGCTGGTGTGAGTGAGCTGAAATGAAGAACAATCTGATTTTTAACATACCTCCCCACTGCAAGGGTTCACTGTTTGTTATTCCTAGGGTAAGATGAATAAGGTGATATACTTACCCTTTTCCTCGCTCCCCTGGCAGCCAGTACTCTCCTCCTCTGTCCAGAGATCTGGAACATGGGTCAGGCTTTGGGGGACTGGTTGCATGAAAAAGAGGAATTAGGTAAAAAAAAATATATTACCTTATTCATCAACGCATGCAAACCGGGCAGTTAATCATTGCACTGTGGAGGGGAACCCACTGCAAGGGTGAAGTTCAGGTTTAAGGGTGGATTCACAGTACTGCTTTGCGGTAACATGCATTACCACAATGTGCGATAATATACAAACTGCAGTTCAGTGCTCATTGAAAGTGGAAGGAAAAAATTGAGTTGTCACCAGAACAGGAATATTATTATTATACAGGATTTATATAGAGCCAACAGATTGTGTAGCGCTTTATAATATAAGGAAGACATTACAATCACAATACAATTCAAGACAAGATGGTAAGGAGGGCCCTGCCCGTGAGGGCTTACAATCTAAAAGGGAGGGGCAAGTGATACATGAGGAGGTAGCTGTGTGGGGATGAATTGTTTGAGAGTGTGATGGTTGAGTGGTTAGTTTGAGGTGGGATAGACAGTTGTTACTGCAACAAGGGTCTCCTTTTAAAATTTCCCTTCTAAGAGGGAACATCCCTCAATTTGCAGAGATTTCCTCTCACTTTCAGTTGTGTCTACAAGACAGTAAGTAAAGAGAAATCTCTCAACAGACACATAGATGGCAAAAAGCCGGACAGAGATTTTAAACATGCTCTACTGTATAAACATTATTTTAAGAATATACTTTAATTCCAATGATTGTATACGAGAGAATTGAAAATGAAGATGTGCTGTAAAAATGTTTTGGACCAGTGGGACCTCACTTGTTAACTGGTATAAATAAAATGTTTGATTCTATTATATATATATACTGTATATGTCTTTATGTAGGTGTGAGAAGAAAATGCTTTGAATGTTATACACATTGATGTTGAGCCACCTGGAATGATATAGAGTGTGGGGAGCTTGAGTTGACCTTCCTATAGAGCAAAGTGTGTCTCTCTTGTGACAAAATGAAGAGAAATTACGATCAACTCTACAATGTCTGAAATCCTGAGTCACAATGGCAGCGGAAAATGTCTTCCATGCCACAACGCAAAAGTGCTAATGATCGAATACAATCTTTAAACAGTTGAGCTTTGAAACATGGGGGAGAATAATGAGGGACACACAGAACTGCTTAAGCTCACAGCAAAAGTTTGTAGCTGGTGTCACTTCCTTTACCCCCAGCAATGTCAAAGATGTTGTTCAGTCTTCTTGTGACTGAAAGTACTGACCCTTCTTTTGTGAGATATTGGGGGTGATTTACTAACCTAAACACAGGCACGCACTAGGTGCGTGTGATTTTTACACAGCAAAACGTATTTATCAACCAAAAAGTCTCTGAAAGCATATTTCCACTAATGCCATGTATGGAAAAATCATGCACATGATGCATATATAATGCTGCTTCACAGTTTAGACAAAAATGGTTAGCTCATGCATTTACATTCCTGCATTCATCAACACAAGCAACACAATGTAGAGCTAATTTACACAACGTCACCTTGCAATTCATGCAGGGCTTTGCACAACACACCTGCTGGGTGTGTACACACTACAAAGGTGTCTAGATTCCACCAATAGATCATGCTGGGAGGGAACACACTACAGAGGTGTATACATGTTCGTGGCGTGTTTATAAGGTTAGTAAATCAACCCCATTGTCTCTGAGGGTTCTAGAAAAATGCCACAGCAACACTTGGGGCCGCTCTGGGGTAAGCCACTATTACGTTTGCTATCCTGTGGCACCAGTGACTTTATGACTGTCACCTTACCATATATACAACTTATTTTACATACAAGAGAACAGTATTTGAATAAACTGAAACTGGGCTGTTAATACACAAAAAAAAGTCTAATAATACTTTAAAAGCAATAAAAACCCAGCTGTCTTAAATCCCCAGCACTAAATATTGACATCAAGCGCTGCAAGTCTCCCTCTCCTGGTTGGGAAATGGCTGCCAGCAAAGGGAGAATTGCGGTGCTGGACCTCGGTAAGTACAGATCTGCAGAGGGGGAGATTGCTTAGGTCAGGATGGGGGCCAAAAGTAAGGCTAACGAAAATGTCAAGGCTAACAAACGCCCGTCCACACAGGCCCTAAATGACACTGTTGATGAATTTTGAAAACAAGTATTATTTTGAGTAAAGGTAAATACTGCAAGCTGTACAATCAAAGTACGGATTAGTCCTAGAAGAGTTTAAAAAAAATACACATATTTATAATTTTTAGTTTGTTTTCACAGAAATCAGTGGCGTAACAACCG